CCGCGAGCGCCCGGGCGCCCGCCCTGGCAGGCCCCCGGGGACTCAGACCGGGCCCTGGACCTGTCACTGAAGCCGAGCCCCAGGCGGGAGCCAGTCCCTCCACCCTGTGTCCTTCAGACCCCCCCCCGCAGCCAGATGCAACACTGCGTGCAGCGACTAGTGAGGGACTCGCGGGACTCGCTGTCGGAACCAGAGGACGGCAGCGGCCCTCGCAGCCCCCACAGCCCCCCGCAGCCCCGCTGTGCTCCTGCGGCCAAGCGCCGGGCAGTGGGCGTGGAGCCGCTGCGGGGGGGCGGGGCGGGCGGCGGGGAGCGGGAGCTGGATGCGGAGCGGGGGGCCGGCGGGCACCTCTGCGTCTGCCCGCTGTGCAGCAAGCTGTTCCCCAGCGCCCACGTGCTGCAGCTGCACCTCGGTGCCCACTTCCGCGAGCGGGACGGCGCCCGGGCGCGCCTGTCGCCCGACGGCCCAGTGCCCACCTGCCCGCTGTGCGGGAAGACCTTCTCCTGCACGTACACGCTCAAGAGGCACGAGCGCACGCACTCGGGCGAGAAGCCCTACACGTGCGCGCAGTGCGGTAAGAGCTTCCAGTACTCGCACAACCTGAGCCGCCACGCCGTGGTGCACACGCGCGAGAAGCCGCACGCCTGCCGCTGGTGCGAGCGCCGCTTCACGCAGTCCGGGGACCTCTACCGCCACGTCCGAAAATTCCACTGTGGCCTGGTCAAGTCCCTGCTGGTGTGACCCGTCCCTGTGCGGCGTGGGAGGACGGGGAGGGACCTCCCAGGTGGGCCGCTGGGACGCAGCAGGAGGGATGGGAGCTGGTGGGGGGTGGGGGGCAGCCTGGTGCCGCAGCTCCCAGCAGAAAGGCCACTGCTGCCCCTGGACCACAGGCTCAGGCTCCGGGTGACTTGGCCTGGCTTGGGCCGCCCTCTTCCACGCTTTGCTCCCCCCCTCCCAACTGATTCCTGCCCCCAGCTGTGCCCTGACTTTGAACTCTGTCTTCCTCTCCATCCCCTGTGTCAGCTCCAGGGGGTGTCCCAAGGGCCCTGTCCCAAGGGCTCCCGCCCAGCCTCCTTGGCCCGAGGACGTTCTGCAGTCCTCTCAGCGGGGGCTTTCCTGACCCTCACTGACTCACGCGGGCATACCCTGGTGAGCCTGGCCCCAGGCTTGGTAGAGAATGAACACACCACAGAAGTTGTCAGCGTGTCCTGAAAACGGCACTTGGATGGAACAGGACCCTCCTGGTGGGGGGCCTCAGGAGCCTCCGCGGGAGGCCCTGGGCCCAGGGCGTGCAGGCGGGGGACTCGGGGCACAGCTGGTGTGGCCGGGCTGCAGAAGCAGAACCAGCCAGACGCTGAGGGGCTCTTGAGTTCCAGGTGCTGGGGTGGGAGGTGGGTCCTCCAGAGCTTCTGATCCTGACCACACTGTAACTCGGTCGGAGAGAGGGAGTCACAATTTGGATAGGATTCTCTTTAGATGCAGAGAGCCTCCCCGAGGTTGCCGGCTATCTGCCCGCGGGCGAGGGCCGTGCTGCTTCCCTGCCTGGTCCCGGGGTCCAGGGCGCCTCTGAGCATCCCCTGGGTGGGGCCCGGAGGGGCTGCTACCGGGCTGCTGTGGGGCTCACCCTGAGGTCACCGGTTTGCCTGCTTAGGGTCTCCCCGGAGTGCCGGTCGTTTACGGAGCACTGAGCTGGGGGCCAGAAGCTGCTCTCTCTACTAGGGGCGATGTTTGCAGGCTTTCCCTTCCCTCCAGTGGGGCCTGGGTGGAAGCTGCCATCGAACAGGGAGGGGACAAGCACCTGCTGGGCTGGGGGCACAGCCCCCCACTGTCACCCACAGCTCCTGGACCCCAAAAGACCTCTGCATTTGCAGTTGGTGGGGGTCACCCAGCAAATCTTGCTGCCAGAATCTCCGTGATGATGGCAAGGGGCGAGGGCAGGCGGGGGCTTGCCCCTGCTTCTGGGGGTCCTGCACGTGGCAGAGCCCCCTGGACTCCTGGTGTCCACTGACTGGAGGCACTGAGGACAGAGTCCAGCCAAGCTTAAGTTATTTTCTCGTCTCCTGGCAACACTTGATGTCGTATTTATTTGTCTGCCCGGTCTGGAGTGAAACGACCGGTGGCCTTCACAGCAGGCGGGCAGAAGGGGCCGTCTCCCTGCACACCCTCGGCTCTCCGGCTGTGCGGGCAGCCCACCGTGCGGTGCAGGGCCTCTCCCGGTGCTTGGGACTCCGAGGCCCTGGCCTGGATGCAGACCACAGAGCACACCGGGCAAGGGGCCCCCTGCTTGTGATCATCCTGGCTCTGGGCCCCGCACCTCTGGAAGGGTTACCTCACGCTCCGTGTCACCTCCTCCATGATCAGGTTTCCGAGTGTGTGTGTGTGTGTGTGTGTATGTGTGCACACGCGCATGTGCGTGTGTCTAGTAAATGGCGAGGCCGAGCCATGCCCACAGCGCCGGCAGGCGGCAGGCAAAGGCGGCGGCGGCCCTGGTTTTCCCCAGGGGTTCCATGGGGGAAGGAACTTACTTTCCTGTCCTGACTTATCGACACTGGATTCATTGTCTTCTGCAAACAGTTACTGTGAAGTTAATGTAAAGACAAGTGGTTAGTTTTCAATGTGATAACCAACACAGTTCAGACGAAATCTCTATATGTTCAACACACAGTTGTGTGGGAATGTGTAGTAAAGGTGCGTGTGGATGCCGTCCGAGGGGAGCCTGCTGTGTCGGGTCCTCCTGGGCCCGTCCCGCCGCCTCCCCGCGGCCTCATCTGCTCTGCCCCGGGGGTGGGCCGCGCCCAGTGACCCAGAGGACGGTGGTTTGTGCTTAGCGTCTGGCGGGAGGTTTTGTTTGCCATGACAGTCGGAAGCCAGAGCTGTCCTCCTGTGTGCCCATCATCGTCTTCATGCTCACAGTGCTAATAAAGTCCGCCCCAGGTGGAGATGGCCGGGGTTATTCCTGGGGACGGGAGCGTGTGCATCTCCAAGTGTGTGTGGGAAGTATGGGCCCTGCTGTTCTGGGCCGGTGGGGGCAGAAGAGGCCCCGGGGGCAGGGGAGGGTCCTAGGTGGGCAGTGGCCACTCTGGGGACCCTGTCTCAGATGGCATCACCTGCTGTGCCCCGTCGCGGGGGGCGTGGGCTAGGGCAGGGCTATGGACAGGTAGCACACCGTCTTTCCTCAGGCTGCCCTCCCTGCCCTGGGGCGTGGGGGGGCAGGAGGCAGGCTGGGACCTGGTGAGGGGACCCTGGTTTCTTGTGCGGGGGGCTATGGGGGGATCTGCTGAGCAGCCACAGGCCCTCGAGCTTGGATCTGAGGCTTCATGATCCTCTGGTCTTGGGTCATCCTGTCTACCTCCTGTCCAACCGCAACTCCTGGGCCCCCCCCCCACCTGCCCCCCACATACCCTTTGCCTTTTTCCTTCCCACCACAACTCATATGTACCCCACCTCCCTCAGGGTGGGACTGGGCCCTCAGAGGCCAGGATTTGGGCGAGAGGTGGGCAAGGCTTGGAGGGGATGTGTCGCTCCTGGCCCCACCCTCACCCTGTGGGGCCCTCCCTGACCTCTAGAGAGCCCCGGGGACTGGGGGTGAAGCTGGGCAGTGGCTGGGCAGGCCTGGCCCCGTGGGGGTTCTAGAGCCCTGAACCAGATCAGGCTGGTGTCAGAGCTGACAGCTGGGCGTGGGTGGGCGTCCCAGCCCCTGCTCAGCCCTTGCATGGGAACGTGGAGCTGGGGCTCTCTGAGCGTTCCCTTGAGCTGTGCCTTTTCACCGGACCCGGGGCGGATGAGCAGAGACGGCCTCTCGTGTGTGTCCCAAGCCTAGTCCTGGCCAAAGTGTCCCCCAAGAAGAGCCAAAGCAGACCCAAGGGCAGGACAGGGGGAACCGTACTTGCATGGGGTCCCCAAGGGTGGTGCCGAGCTGAGCTGGCGCTCAAAAGGCTGCTGGGTTTGGGGCTATACTTTGAGGCCTTACCAGTCCTTGCCCCAAATGCGGGTCGTTGCTTCCCGACGGTGGTGCCCGGCACCTCCCCTCCCCCACGCAGCCTGCCTCCCACTGAGCCCTCCTCCTGGACCAGCGCCACTGACCTGCAGGGAGACCCAGTCATGTTACCAGTTGGGCCTTCTCAGAACCGGCTGTTGCCAAGCCAACCGGGGGGGGGAGGGCATGGAGAGGCCCCCTTAGGGGGAGGGGCTGGCCTGGGAGGGGGCTGACATGAGGTACCCACACTCAGCTCCCTGCCGGCTCCATCACCCACGCCTCTGGGGCTGGAGCCATCCAGCCTGACCCACTGGCGGGATGGTAAACTGAGGCACGTGGAAGGGCCTGGGGCCTCCTCCTCCCTCCTATCCCCCTCCTCCACCAGCACTATCTTCCCAGTAGACCCCCACAGAAACTGACCCCTAAAATCTGGGCCAACTTCTAAGTGGAGGATGGAGCGCTCGGCCATCTGCACGAGGACTAGTGGTAGGGAAGGGCTGTTCCTCCCTTCCCTGCGACCCCCTGCTTCCCGGGTATTTCCTGGTTCCGCCGCACCTCCTTTGTCCCTATCAAAGGGAAAACGGGTCTGGGCCTCTCCCACGCACGCCCACTAGACGTCCCCAACACCAGCGTGGACAGCAGCCCTCTGCTTGTCACAGAACCCCGCGGGGAGGGCCACCTGCTCCTCGTCCTGGTCCCCAGGGCAGTTCTGTTCTGCCTCAGTCTTCTCATGCGTAAGATGGGAATCATGGCACGCCCCTGCAGAGGGGTGAATGGGGTCATGCCCGGTGGGCACACGGGCAGCGGCCGCTACATGCTGGCCGCCCCTTCCGCTGCGGACGACAGCAAACCTAACACAGCTGCCTCCCCTGGGGCCAGCCGTGGCTCAGAAGGGGCCCCAGCGCCGAGGGCCTTGGCAACAGTGGCCCGCAGAGCAAGTGGAGCTCGTCCTGGGAGTGTTGGCTGGGCTGGGTTGCGGGCGACAGCAGTTTGCAGTTTGGGGACCGGCGCTGTTGGGCCCTGTGCCTCCCCACAGGGTCACCTGCCCCCGGCCCTCATCCTCCCTGGCCGGGTCCCCCGCAGGGGTCTCCACGAGCACAGGGGGCTGTGGGAGGAGTGCGGGGACAGCTGGCTGGGGGCCTAGGGCAGCAGGGCCTGGCTAGCGGCTGGCCCTGCAGAGATCTCAGTGGATCTGGGGTATCCCCGGAAATCTAGGGGGGCAGGGACTCACCTCCCTGATTGGAGCCAAGTGGCATTGCTTTCGGCAATTTGAACAAAGTCTATACTCAGAGAAACCCATTCCCCGCCCTGTGCCGCAGACACGGGGACACGACACCACGCCCTGGGCAGCTTGCACCACAGGCGTTTACATTCTCGAAATTCCCGAGGCTGGAAGTCCGAGATCCGGGTGTCGGCAGGGCTGGTTGTTCCTGGGGCCTCTCTCCCGGGCGTGGAGACGCAGTCCTCTCCCGAGTCTGTGTCCTGATCGCCTCCGCTTATAAGGACTCCCGTCCTAGAACCTCATTTTAACTTGATCACCTCTGTAAAGACCCTCCGTCCAAGTACGGTCATGGTGCGAGGTGCTGGGAGTTAGGGCTCCCACACAGGAATTCTGGAGACACACTTCAACCCCTAACAGTCGGGGTTTCAGAAGCTTGCGGAGGCCCAGATCTGGGCCGGCCACTGCAGTTTTCTTGTCAGTAAGGTTTGTTGAGGATTCCATTTCGCCCTCCAACGTGCTGGGCAGCCCACGGGCCGCTGGGCACAGCTGCCTGCCGCCGTCCCGTGTCCAGACCACGGTGCAGGGAGGACTGCCCTCAACGGGCCCAAACCCATTCTGCCCACACCCTCCACAGTGGCCCGCACCTGAGTCTCACCCCCTCGTTGCTGGCGTCCCAGGGCGCGGACCCCCGGCCTCGCTGTCCCGCCGGGCTGTCGCTCCCAGCTCTGCTTCCCCTGCAGAGTGCCCCTCCCATCTGCCCCCCCAAGCCAGCCAGGAAGGGACATCTCTACCCCCCACTGCCTCTCACAGAATCTCATATCTCTTGAGGCCCACACCCCCCAAGGGTAAGCCACCCTCCCTTCCTCTCTGCGCTGGTCTCTGAGCCCTGAGGTCCCTCTGCTCGCAGAAGGCTCCCCCTCCACACACGCTGAGCCATCCCCTCATCCAGTCTCCGAGGCCAAGGCTCTGGACATCCCACGGTCTGCAGGCAAATGCATCCAGCATCCTTCCCTGGGCTCCGTGGCCCCTTCTCCTGCGCCCCCACACCCGGGTCACACAACAGCTGCACCCCCCTTGGAACCTCAAGTCCAGCCGCCCCCCGCCCCCGCCACCGCAGCACAAGCTCCGTTTCCCCATTCGCCCGACCACGCAGCTTCTCGGTCACGAGTCTGAAGCTGCCGGTGTGGCCACCTTCTTCTCACCATCGCCGGCCCCTCCCCTCCACCCGGCTCCCCTGCCCAGGCTCTGAGTCTTTGGGGAACCCCAAGCCTGGACAGATGCGGCCCCTCCCCTCCCTGCGCGGCCTGCAGAAAGGGAGGGGCTTGGGCAGTCGGCTTGAGCCCATTCCAAGGACACCATAGAAGGAGAGCAGGACCAACCGCCCAGAGGGCTGCTGACGCCTGCCCAGCTCGGCTGGACCGACCCCCCGCACAGAGAACCACCGATGTGAGGGCGCTGGAGAGCCAGGGGGGCGGGCAGCACGTGCACAGGACTCCGCGGGAAGCGCGGTGCCGCCGGTTTGTCACAAGGCACTTAGGGGGCACGCGGGGCAGTGCTCAGCACCGCTAGCCACCAGGGGCCCCGCGGTGAGGCCGCGGGACACGCCCGTGCCCAAACGGGAAGCCCGGCGGCACTCACACAGGTGGGACGTGGCGCTGCGCTGGGGAAGGCGCCCCTTGCTTGGGAGGTAAAACATACCCCGGTCACGTGACCCGGCCATTTCCACCGGGAGGGCTCATCCGGGGGAGGGGAGACGTGTGTCCCCAAGGGACCTTCCTCACGTGTTCGTGGCAGCGAGAGCCGCGTTAGCAAAGAGCCTGCGACAACCCCAATGTCCACCAGCTGGAGTGGACGTGCCAGGTGCAGAATCCTCACCCCACGGGACGGCGTGTGACCGTGAAGGGGGGGTCCCTGTTCCGGGGGACAGAGGGCAGCAGGCAGGAAGGGCGCCCACCGTGCTGTCTCACCTGCACGAAGCTCTAGAGCGGGCGGGGTAGCGTCCAGGGGGAAAATCAGACATTTGCCCCTGCAGGGGGAAGCGAGGATCAAGGGGGTCCAAGGGGACTTCGGGGGGGGGTGGACAGTTCCTGAGTTTTACAGGGTGGCATGCCATGTGGCCGTCAAGATGTATCAAACTTTACTGTGCATTTTGATGTGTGTACATTTAAAAACCCGATAGAACAGTGAAAGGGCAGGAACAGACAGGGCTGTGGATGCGGCCAGAAGAGCGGGGAGCGAGCAGCTGCTGAAACCGAGACAGGTGCCGGGAGCTTACTGTGCTCGGGAAACTCCCATGTTTGAAACTTTCCAGGATAAAATGCTCGGAGACACCCTTCTGCATCAGACTGGCACAGCCTGGTCACATCCTCACGCGTGAGGCTGCGGGGCCCGTGCCGGGCAGGCGCGGAGCGGGCGCCTGCCCGGCTGGGCCGTAACAGTGCCTGTGGGCGGTGGGACCAGCTCCCTGGGCTCCCACAAGCGCCGCTCACCAAGCACACGTGCGGACGGCAGTGTGACCCTCCCTCCAGGTGCCAGGGACATGATCAGCACAAGAACACGCATGTGCGTGGTTACAAAACATTCTTGGAAGGATACTAAAGAAATAAAAGGTGGAATGTGGGTCATTCATGGGGAGGGAACTTGGTTCCTGCCTGACCGGGGGAGTGGGGGAGATCTGGTTTTATTTTGAATCATGTTATGGGTCATTGGTCACCAACATACATGAATTAGGTTAAACTTGAAACCCCGTCCTTTACCCCTCACAT